TAAAAAACTGATTATTTTTGAAAACTTTGCCACCCTGTATCTCAAAAGTTAAGGCGTTTAGGACATACGTCTATAGGAAGATTTTTTCTTAAAATGGGTCTAAGAATTACCTCCTCAAATATTAGCATGTGTTTAAGGAACATCCTGTATAGAGAATTGAAGTGATGTTCATAGCCCCATCTTTCCACAGAAAAAAAAGTGGATAGCAACCTCTTGGCGGTTAGTGATGTCACACTATTGGCATTTTTATCAAAAAGATATCGACTTTCATATCTTGCCCGTCTACAGAAGATGAGACGGCAGGCTATTTATCTCCGCACCGCATTATGCATAGAGTAAAATTTTGTGAAAATAATATATTTACGAATTTCAAAATACAAATATAATTAGAAATATCACATTTCAGTTTTTACCACCACGTTTGAATACGATTCACTAGGATTTGATGTGGAACACACACCACTTTCCGGCGAGTCCTCACAAATTGGTTCACAATAATTCAGTGTGTTATCTACAAGAGATGCCGGACCATAATAATCGTCATGGACGGACTCGGTATTGGAGTTAGAGGCAGAAATATGAAGCTTCTGACGTTTCCTCATTTTGGTGCGGAAAACTAAATTATCTATTTCATGCATGAGTATATCCCTGGTATGGTCGTCGAAAGATCTCAGTTTCGTGGCCAGTAGCTGTGTGAATAACGAACACTCATCTCTGTCTGGTTCACACGAACAGTTGCTCACGTCCGTTCTCATCATTTCCCTTCTTTTACGGATTCTTCTTTCTGGCGGAGGTTTGAAGATATTGACGGTTTCGGGAAAGGAATGTTTTGAGTCATCATCGTTTTCCGTTCCATCCTCGATTAGAGGACTTTCACTGTCTCTATCTCTTTGATCGATTTCGTAGATTCTGTTATCATCAGTATCCTGAAACGAGCCAATCTCAATTATTCATCAACATTACAATCAGAATGAACAAAGTGTATCGTGCGACAAGACAAATATACTTTATTGTCCAAAAAAACATCGAGGCCTTATTAACAATGTGAAAATAAAAAAATGTAAAGTGTATAACAGTTCACGCACACTGAAGTGAATATAAATTAAATTTATATACACAATAAATACATACAGCTTGTCAAATCTAGGAGGAGACTTGAGAATTCTCTCTCTCTCTCTCTCTCGCTCGCTCACTCTCATAGTTTTCTAACAAACGCACATCTAGTGGGCGGGACCATAACGGAATTCAGAAAGTTCTTCCTACATTTGACAAGCAAGTCGAAGTAAACGATATTGTTCACATTTGAAGTTGACAGCTCTCTCAAAGGATGAGAAAGAAATTCCACTGAAGAATATTATATCAGCTGCTACAGATGGCGCTCCGGCTATGACAGGACGTCACAAAGGCTTCATAGCGTACTTAAAAAATAAAATTCTAGATGTGATCGCTGTACATTGTGTCATTCATAGGCGACATTTGGTTGTGAAAAATTTGAGTGAGCGCCTCTCTCAATCACTGCAATATATTATCAAAGCAGTCAATAAAATCCGAAACAGCTCTTTAAATGACAGATTATTTAATCAGCTTTGTGTTGCTAATGATGAAGATTTCAACGGACTGTTATTTAACAAAAAAAGTGTGTTGGTTATCAAAAGATAACTGTCTGACTCGATTTCACAATCTATTTGACTCTGTAATAGAGTTCTTGGAAAACAAAGACAAAGAATTGCACGACAACCTCATCACTTCAAAGAATGATATTGCGTACTTGACAGACCTGTATAAATTATTTTATGATGCCAATCTCCAACTTCAAGGTGACGACTTGAATTTGATTGAAACAAAAAATGTCATTGCTGCTTCTGTAGCCAAATTACTCTTACACAAGAATAATATCGGCAGACAGCAGTATCCTTCAACAACGACGAATTTCACAGAACGATTTCAGGACATTTTAAAATTGGAAATACCGAACTAGATGTTGGATCCTTTTTCAAATGTCAACACAGTAAGATCACCTCAGCTGAAAGAAAAACTCATAGAACTGATAACGAACGAGGAAATGAAAATAAAATTCAGAAATGGACACCAAGAATTTTGACTACAAAAGCCACTTCCGCAATTGTACCTTGGATTGTGGTCCATTGCTCAAGGATTTTTGATAGCATTCCTATCATCGTATTTGTGTGAACCTGGATTTATTGCTGTATCACATGAACACATAATTTAATTATTAAATTAATGTCTGCGATTGTGATTCTTAAAATGTAGTGAAGTAAAAAAAAATCTGGGGCGCTAGAAAATAATTAATTCCCGAAGTGGGCGGTAGACAAAATAAGTTTGAGAATCTCTGCTTTACAGCCTCAGCTATCTCGATGAACTTCACTTTGCGGTCATTCAAAATTATTTTGTGGACTTTTTTGATGTTTTCTCTATGCTCATTTCACCTCGCTCAAACTTAGCAAACCACTTCTCAATGGTTGATTTTCTCTAGGCAGAGTCCGAATAATGTTTATCAAGCCAAGCCTTGGCTTCAACAGTGTTTTTTTGTCAACAAGCAATGCTTCATTAACACACGAAATTACTTTTTATCAATTTTCTGCGATATAACATTTTGCTTTATTCAAAATGTCTAGTCCAAAAGCTATAAAATTTGTTCACGTGTCTTTTGAAGGTTAGGGATAAAAATCATATGGATTCAATACTAGTAGCGTCATCTATGTGTTTTCAGCGTACCTGAAATATCGTTCATAATCATGATTTCAATTAGACGTTTGCAGATAGTTCAAAATAGTTATGAACGATCACATTCGTAATAAGATGATCACTGAAATGATTCATGAATAATGTTACGAAACAGCAATATAAATTTTTGAACCCTTGAAATATTTGATGGGATATAAATATTATAGTTTGTATTTCTGCTGATTGAAAACCCTTCAAAAGAGAATGTTTCATTTCCAAAATGAAAGTTATTTCATTCCTGAAGGTCTAGCATTGACTTAGTAATAGATAGCTTGTGAGATCTGTAATAATAAAATGTTTGCGTATTTTCCATGATGTTAATATGGCGTTTTTCACCTAACTGAAAATTTTCGTTATAATTTATATGCACTCTCCGAGACGCGAATATTATTTGTATTAAGTTACGTAGGAAATTTAAACTGACCGCCTCGCTTTATTATCATGGAATCTTTATAATGCTATCCAATAAAAAATATATATTTACCTTGTATATACGTATTGTTATTTGGATGAGGACACAATGTAATTGTTGAATAAAAAATGCAGATCAAATACCACAAACTATCCTCTTATCTTCAAATTTGATGTTGATTAAAAAAGAAAAGAAAATCTCTTATGCCTCCATATAATGCTGTCAGAAACATTAAGTTATGAAATATTATTTTCACGATGGAATAAAGTTTCGATTGGAGTAATTTCACTGGTGGGACGAAATGTTTCTTTCACACATGAATATATTTTTACTGCGAAAAAAACTTTAGATATTAATGTGGAACTCATTAGCATACTCATAAAGAGTACAAACGTTCAAAACCAAATTTACTCTTTATCCATCGTATTCAAGCTAATTGGCGCATTCAATAAACAGCTGGCCTGTGATCCTTTTTTAAAAGTTATTCTTGGAAGTGGGTAAATACATGCTAGTGTAATTTCAAAGAGTCTAAGATATATCTCATTGATGATTAATTATGTATACAGTCAGCCTCTCATCATAATCTGAAATTGAATCTCAACTTAAAAATTACGTCAAGCGTGAAATTCATAACACTCGCGAAGAATGACTAGTTACCTTATATGGAACGAATGACTGAAAGGAAGAATGAGTCAAACTGTTCATTCACTGGCGTTATTTTCATTTCAATTTCATAATGAAAATTTGATGTGAATAGCCTGCCCGACACTGACGATGCCCAATGGGCTGAAACAGCTGTCTACCGGTGGCTCTTGAATTAAAATTAATAAAGGAATTATCAGAATAGTGCTTATCTATTTATCATTTGATTTTTATGAAAATATTTTCCAGCAGCTTGACTGCATTAACCTTTCTCGATTTCATATTATTTCAAGAAACATGTGGATTCGTTTTCTCTTGGCATTCCAGGAGAGCTTCCCAATTTTCTGCTACCGCAGTTGTCAATTTCTTGGTCAAACCACCAATACTACATAAAAACTTGGCAATTTGATTTGGGTATCACACCAATAGGTGGCTCCACTTATGTTTCGCTTACGTTCACGAAGTTATTTTTATCAAGTTCTCTTCTTGGTCATTCACATTTTGTCTTTCCTTTAGTCAGGAAAGCTATATATTACGCTGTAGACGACCCCTCCCGATATAGAAGGCCCAGACACTCTGTCGAATGAGGCCCCTATGTCCTCCGTTAACGGATGAATAATATCTTCATCCATCTCACCCCAGCCAGGTAGGGGTATACAGCGAAGGGCGGTATGGATGTCTTAGGACTTTCATGCCACCAACAAACACCAGTCATGACCCGTTTGTCTTTCTGACAAACTTCAGTTGAAAGGGGAAGGGAGCCAGGCTTCAACCTGCATGAAATCAAGATGGTTAACGTCACATTTTGTCTTCAATCGAGGACCGCCTACCCGGTACTGACGATGCCCAAAAGGCTGAAACAGCTGTCTACCGGCGGCTCTTAAATTGAAATGGATATGGAAATGATCAGAATAGTACTTATCTATTTTTTGCCATTGAATAACATTACAAATCATACTTACAGTTAAAATGAGTGAAAAACAATTAAACATATAAATTGACAAAAGAAAGTTGAAAAAAAACCAATAAATAGAGTTTTTTCTATGATTTTCACTATAAGGGTTTCACAAAAACCGTGACAAGTGTTTCTATACAAGTGTTTCTATACAATAGCTTCTTCAAGCATGCTTGAAGAAGTTATTGTATAGCGAAACACGTGTCGCGGTTTTTGTAAAACCCTTCTAGTGAAAATCATAGATTAAACTCTATTTATTAGTTTTTTAAATATGGATTTTCATCAAGTATCGGCCAGTTCTATTCAACTTTCATAAAAGAAAGTTAAACATGTATAGGATTTTTTTGTTTGACAAATGTCATACCTACACATAAATATTATTTTTCAATGGGCATAATGATTTGATAATCTTTGACCCATAGGAAATGAGATATTTCCAAAAAAGCGCAAAAAACTGATTTTTGTGATCTTTGATCTTGAAATTTAATAGTTGCTTACACCCTACCATATGTAGGTTTTGAGACAACTTTTAGGGTGTCAATGTACAAGTATTTACAGACTTACAGCTGGGTATCTCGAATTCCGAGGTGAACTTACTATAATGACTGGACTATATTGATTGACAACATTTGACAAGATTTCGCGGCCGCGGTTTTCAGTGTCACTATTTTCCGGGTTTGAAGGAAGAAATTCCAATAATCCACGGCATTCAAATCCGGAAATTAATGACACTAAGAACTGTTGCTTGACGACACTAGATTTGATATGGAGCTTGATGAATTATTACATATTTGTGTAATACGAACTCTAAACGAATATTTAATAATGATGTATATCATAATAAAATTCAACTGTTCAGTTGGACAATACTTTGTATGAGATGATGCGTGACCATCTGAAATCGTGACGTATTTTGAGAACTAATCCCTTTGTTGAGGGTGAATTTCATCTAGCCCAGACTGATTTATGTCTTCCGTTTCCCGTGAAAAGTCGAAGCATGGGGTTAGAAGGCTATCTGTGGTCGATGATACCGCCTCATGAAAATTCAGAACATAAAAGTACTCAGGCACTGCGGGGTGTATTTCAAGATGTGGAATGTCTCATTTTATTCTGGTTCCAAAAAATAGCAACACAGCTTGTCGCACATCTTTTTCTAAAGTTTTTGAACAAAATA